TGCTTTAAAGGTTGGTCATTGCCTCTACATCTCGGGTACGTAACCGAGAAGATGAAATTGAGGATTTAAAATCATAGATTTCTGCACTCACAGGAGAAAGGGGGACCCCTTTACTCCATCCTCCTCCTCCTCTTCCTCTTCCTCCATCACCTCCTCCACCTCTGGCCGTTGCTACAGTTGCTACTTCACCGGCTGCTATTGCTGCTAGTGGGGCTGCACATGCTGCAGCTGGGGTGAGACCAGCACCTCAGTTACCTCTGGCTTCTCAGCCAGGCCAGTTTGCGCCACTTCCAGGCTACCTGGCTCCTCAGCCAGGCCACTTTTATTCACCTCCAGCTCATCAATTCCCCCTCCAGCCCATACATATGTGCCTGAAGCTCTTACACAACTTCTGGTTGCACAGCAACAATACCCTCCTGCTGCACCTGCTGGTGCTGCTGCGATGGGTGTGCCAGCTTTCCAGCCAGTCCAACCGAACGCACCTGTGCCCATATCTGACATCTACAGGATGTCTCGGAGCAAGAAATTCAACCCTCAACCAGGTAACTCATACCCGGTTGACACAGTTTTGTTGACCTCCGATATCACTTTCAGCGATGTACGGGAATGACCTTGGAGGACAAGAACTTTGTGATAAGGTTGACCTCCGATGCCGTGGGTTCGCTTATTGACCGCAAGCGTAATTTGATCGCAAATGTTTACGACAAGCTGGAAGCTGGGATTCGGAAAGAGTACACTTATGGTGCTAAGGAGGCTGGTATACAGTTAGCTTTGTCAGTAAAACAGGGTCGTACGCCTCTTCGACGCGTACTTTGGTAAGGAATGTAAGGACAGGATGGAAGAGGAAAAAGGTTTCAAGGGAATCTTCCTTGAGAATCTACATGCCCAGTATAGCCCATACATGGGTACGGTAGACCTTAGAACCATACCCATGGATGAGCTCAGAAGAATGGCAAGTTGTGCCTTTACACGGTTTGGCAAATCCAGTAAGAGATCGCACAGTCCATCAGTTCTGGCGGTGAAGACGAAACCCTCCTTGTTGCGACTCGAGGGGACTGCATCAGGGACTCATGAAAATAAAAACTGAAATAATGGGTCTAAACAACAGGCCCAGAAATCTAATAACAACTCCAAGCCAAAAGGCTGTCCAAATAACAAGCCTCAAAATCCAAACAGACCTCAGACCCCTCCACCGGCTCGTGGAGGGGACCCTAAGTCACCACGACTTGGCCGTGATAAACATCGTGTTTCTTTTAAAGAAAAATGGGGTTTGCCAGGCTCCTTCAGGAGACAGTCGCCTCGCCCAGGCGAGAGATGCACTCCTTCTGGCCAAAATTCACCGGGTAGTGCTCACAAGGACTACAGTCCTGCCCCAAGGGCGAGAACTGATTCTGAGAGCTGATCTCCTGGAAAAATTCACGCCTGGGAGCCGCACTTCTTGACCTGTTGAAAGATTCGACGGCACGTGAGTCGGTTCTGTGCATCTCTGTGGTAGAACCTCCTCAACCTGCCTGTGGCTCGGTTGTGGAAGCAGGTCCTGCATTCACCGACACCTGAGGTCTCGGCGAAACCTGCTGTGGTCGCTTCCGTCAGCGCTAGTCCTCTAGCATCCACAGAACCTGCCACCGGACCTGGCCAACCTAGCTCACCGATCAGACTTCCACTTAGGGTTCTCTGCAGTATCATCCGTAATGGTCCTATGGATAAACCTCACATTCTGGTGACCCTGGAGGGGGCGCTGGACTGTGAGGGTGCCTTGGACTCCGGTTCAGATTTCACCATCATGTCCAGCTCTCTCTGGGAGTAGGTCCGCATGGCTGCAGCTGCACAGGGATTTAGGACTCACGCCCTGTGCTGTGGACATCCATCTGTACTCTTCAGGCCAAATGCCCTTGTCAAACATGGTGTCCATCAACTTCACAGTGGGAGACATGTTCATGAGCCATCCAGTGTTTGTAACTAACGTTGAACCTTTCGTGTTGGGACGGGACTTGCTCCAATGCATAAAAGCTGTAATTTCACTCCGTGATTTGACACTCCAAACTCGGTTGACTCAACCAACGCCCTTGGCGTCCCTTGAATACCTCATTACCTTTTCAGGTGGTGTTAACTCTATGGCGCCGCCAGCCTGGTCGTTCAATCCAGTACCAGTAAGGTCAGTGACATCCGGAGAGTCTGCATCATCTCTGCATCAGGGCCACTCCACACTGTGGTGGGGAAACCACCTACACCAGTCGGAGTTGGAGGTTGCAGTGACACACCACCTGAGACTCTGCACCCTGCGGTAGGGACACCACCTGCCTAAGGGGGGACTCATGGTGGCGCTGATACTACGGCTGAAGCCCAGTACCTTGCAGTGTGGACTCCACCTGCCGAAGGACAGACTGATGATGTCACTGACACTACTGCACTACAGCAGGCGCTGGTGACCTCTAGCCCTGAGGTTGGTGACTCACCTACCAAAGGCGAGGTTGAACGGTGCCCTGTACCACCACTGGTTGACCCTGATCTCTCTGACTGCACCAGCGCGTCGACCGAGGGCCCTCCAGAGCGCCCACCTGTGCCGAACCCTTGCAAGGCCACGCCAGTCTACAACCTAGAACGTTCCTGGTTTCCATTTTCAGGTCTGATAAAATACTTTTTGTTAGTTGTGTGTTTCGGTCTGCTATCAACCACAGCTGAGATTCATCCTCAGCCACCTCTAACGCATCTGTACGAACCTGGGCTCTCTTCGGGTATCACACTCCGAGACCGCCCAGGCCTACTAATGACTAACTATCGTCTATTTACACAAAAGACATTTTTATCTTCTGCTTAGCCGGCCTCATTCACCTGTGCTCTTTTTAACAGAATGTCAGCAGGTAAATCTACAGGAACACCTGTGCCCAGTGTGGATCAGAGGTTCCACCAGGCTGCTGGAAATTCACAGAGCCTGTGGGACCTTCAGATCCAAAGAGGTGATATCTAGCCATCATGGTGGCCGATTAACTGTGGAACACGTCAGAGGTGATTGATCTAGAGCAGTGATTCCCAAACTTATTTAGCCGCGCACCCCCTTCTATGTCCCGACCATGTCGACGCACCCCACCCCCACCCCCCCACCCCCCACATCGGGGCATGGCTATATATATATATATCAGATGTCAAGCTAAACAGAGAGGGTTAAAAAAATTCCCCATCACTTTCATTTTTTAAATAGTAATTAATAAACATTCGATACCATTACAATTTCCTTTGATTTCATTTTGAATAAATATTTAGAGTGCCCAGGTAGCACATAAACAATGCAATTTAACGGTTTTCTTAAAGTAGGAACGTTTAACCTGTGCGGCCAGAGCGCTCTCCTTCCTTCTGCTCTGCGTAAACCTGAGCTGATCACCTACTTGTGCGTAATCAAATGTCAATAGGGGACAAGATATAGCCATGATGTTCACTTTTACCTCAGACCGACTTATTGCTGTTTTATGGTGTAGCTGAAACTGCGATCCGCTGTCATGCGGACCGGAATAACAAACGCTGCAGTAACAGGACTTGTGGTCAGGTTCATGAGGAGTCACTGGCTGGAGCGGACCCGACTCATCCCAGAAGCTAATATCTTAATTTGACCTTGAATGAAAAATAACCTCTTAAAAGTTTTTATCACGGTGGAGGCAGCGTTCATGTCTGCCTTCAGTCTGACGGCGCGCCGGAGTTAAAGCAGCGTGTGCGCTTATTGAATCTGTGTGTGTGTGCGCGCGCGGCACAGCCGCTCAAGTCACCGCGTCTCGCGCTATTTAAACCAATGTTGTAAAATTACTTCTGCCCAGCCCAGATGTGCTCACTTGTGCACCCGTGAGCCGTGGCTCCGCTGGAACACGTCTGACCTCTGACAGACGCACTCTGAACTTCAGATCTTCAGCGCGCAGTTAATAGCCTGAATGGGAATCATTTCTTGTTATTTAGTTACATCCACAATGTTCTGTGTGTGAGGTTTACAATGTCAGAACACCTGCATGAGACAGGTGTTAATTACAATCTGCCAGAATGACTCGCCACCTTCAGATTTCTCCAACACCGTTAAAAATGATCAAATATGGAACACATCGGCGTGCGCAGGCCAGAGTGCTGAAGCTCGGCGCATTGTTATTATGAAGCTAGGGCACATGCGGAGGACACGCGCGCAAAAATATACTTGTTTTCAATTACATTTATTGTGCCCACTTACTTTTTCTTTGGCCCACCCACAAATGAGTTTCTACGCTAATGGTGACATATGACAGACTTCTCTGAGCTCCGCAGCCATTACACTTTTCACCTCGCGTACCCCCTAGCGGCAGCTTGCGCACCCCCAGGGGTGCGCGCACCACACTTTGGGAATCCCTGATCTAGAGATCCCAAGTGGCAGGAATATCAGGTAGAAGGACCATGAGAAGTAGGAGAAATGCTCAGAGCCGACAGAGGAAAGAGAGAAGTTGTGGAATATGGAGACCTCAGTAGTGCCAGAGGAACAACCTCTATGTCCCATCCACAGGCCTCTCATGGAGAAGGCTTTTGTTATGATCACGAGGATCCTGAATTAAAGTTCCTTTTTAACCTAAAAACATGCTTCATAATATTAAACTCAGTAACATTTATTCCTGCATCTGAGAGGCTTTCTAAGGATCTAAGAGCTCTCTCTTTACCAGGATTATTACATTCTTCTGAAACCAGCTTTTTGAGTTATCCATCCATCCTTTTTATTTGGCCGCTTAACAAAAATGGATGGATGGATGGAACAAGCGCGATATAAAGGCTCAGAACCAGATGTCTGAACAGCCATCAGAACCCTAAAAACGTTCAGCTAGAATAAGTCCTCCCAGTTGGAACTTGTGCAAAAAGTTCTGATGAGGAATGGAGAGTGAAAGAAAACATTTATGTGTGTGTTTTAGCAGAAGTAGAAAGATTGAAGCAGATGTGAGATCAGGCTGTAGAACACAGAGTCTTGGGTCAGATGAAGACAATAAAGACTGAGAGCCACTCACTCATCTCCATGTACTCAGGGTTGATGCCGGCAAAAGGGCCCAGGAAGTGATCCTTCTCATAGCGCTTCAAAATCTTAACTTCCTCCTCTTGCAGGGAAGTCACCTCTGATTTCCTCTTACGGAGCAGCTTCTTCAGCTTCCTGCAGAGCCCACAGCAGACAGAAAACACACTGCTTTACTCTGGGACCATATGTAGTAGATCCCAATACTAGTACCATCTAGGGTTGTCACAGTAACCGGTGTAGCGGTAAAAAAGTTGACAATAATAATAACGGTCTTGTTTTTTTAAAAACATATATTATCTCGGTGGATTACCGTGGCTGCGGTGTAGGCGCGGTCAGGGCCGTTGCTAGCTATTTTGGTGCCCTAAGCACAAAGTCTACGTGGTGCCCCCCCCCCCCCCCCCACACACACACAGAAAAAACAACACAATCACTGGCATGTGACATGACTAAATTCAAAACTATTTAACCTTTATTGAGAACTAGAGAGGCACAATATACACAACTAGAAAATTCTCAATATGAAGGGAGGAGGTTAGCATAATGGACTTTTTTCCTCAAATTATACCATCAGCAGCTGATGTTCCTCTTGGCCCGTAAATGTTTATGAAATATATATCAACATTGAGCAAATATCTAATTTGAAAATAGGTTTGTCAAATTTTTCATATTAAATTTCAGTTACATAGCCTATAGGCCACATAGGCTATTTAATAATGATATAAATCATGTCCATAGTTAACTCATGATTAATCACAAACAGCCGCTTATTTAAAAATAAAATTTCTTACTTTACCTTGACAGTGTTTTTGTCCTTCCTGTTTTTGTGATATTTAAGTATTTGGGTGGACAAATATGATTCATTTGTTTATTTCTGTTTCAGAACAGCACAGATGGGTCTATTTGACCTCACAGAGGAAACTTTATTTTACTTGAGAAATATGTTTTAAGATGAACTTATTAAAACAAAATAATCTTCAAACTCTTCAAGGTTTATTTTTTGATGAACAACCTTTAACACTGTTCAGACTTATTTGTTGATCCAAGTCACATGAACAGGCTGAATAAAAGGATTTTTCCCTTTGTTGCATTTAACTATTTCTTCTTTAAAGAAGTGCTGATTCAGAAGAGAATAACTGCATTTAGGAAGATGATGACTTGCTACGTTTTTTCTCCAGAAGTAAAAAAGCTCTAAAGCTTCTCTGAGTTTCTCTCCCGCTCAGCCTCTCTCACTCAGCTAATAATGAACGCCCGGTAGGCAGGGCCAGATTAACACTTTGTTGGACCCTGGGCAACAATATTCAAGGGCCCCATCATCACGACCCAAGGATCACCATAATATGGTCACATACAGAATATTTTACTGTAATATGCAGTAAATATACTCAATACTTGAATACCTGATGTCACGTAACCCTCTCAGGGTAACCTTTGACCCACCTCGTGTGGACTGACCAATGAGGAGAGAGTCTTAACTTGAGGCTCTCTCTTCATTGGTCAGTCTGCATGAGACTGACTCTCAACTGACGTTCAAAGTCATAGGCAGCAAAGCGTCTCAGCGCAAAAGCCCGGGTGGACAGCTTGTTGAATATAGGGTGACCATATTTCCATTTCCAAACAAGAGGACAGGAAATCTGTGCCTATGACGTCACACTATGGCAACGCCACACAAACCACGTTGGGACCCATTTTTTTGTAAGAAGTAAATTAATATCAGATTCTGCCAATAAAAGGGCTCGAAAACAATTCATATGTAAATATTTAGCATATTTATTGCAAAATCTCATTTTTCTGCTTTAATGCTGCAACAAGGTTTTATTAATAATAAATTATTATACCTTTTGTTTTACTACAGCATCGGTACGCTTCCTGTGCACAGATTATTAAGGATGCTTGTTTCAGCTGTGAGATTAAACGATAGGATCAATGAAAAAATAAGTTGTCACACACTCCATGGAAACTTTCAGAGAATCCACAAATAGTGGCTTTCAAATGGTTTTGTTTCTTTTTGCAAGTTTAGAAAAGCAGCAGATGAGACAGCATGTCTGATAATTTAGTTTTTCATCTGATAATATTAGAACATGTCAGTAATGTCTGAGGGGCTTTTATAAACACTGTATAGCTAATACTCCTGGAGAGGGTATGAATTACACAGAGGCTTCTGGGGAGGGGGGGTCATTTTGCCTTGGCCCCCAAAATGTCTTGAAACGGCCCTGGGTGTGTGACTGAGTTTTGAAGGTGGTCTGAGCTGTATCAGATGTATAAATATTACATGTGTATAACTTATTGTTTTATACAGGTAAAAATCTGTAGTGGAGATAAATCTACCTACATTTTACTTTTCAACACTTTGTTTTGTTTTTATTTAACTATTTTCCTGTCCTGTCTGTCTCTCATCTTCCTGCATCTCCTCTAAACTCTCCAGAAAAACTGCTGCCTGGATTCTTACTTTTTCACCTCATCAGTTACTTCTGAGCAGATCAAAGGGATCTCCTGACCGCAAAGCGGAGAGGCATTTCGATGCTGCGTCAGTGAGGTGAAATCACCGCAGCATAGGTGATGAGCTCCGCAGTAGCAGAGCGCCAGGCACAGATAAGACAGAAAGTAGAGAACATGAGCGGACATGAACGATCGTGTGTTAATTATAGTTTTTTGGTTGCGCCACTTTGAGAATGGACCGTGCGCTGGAAGCAGCCGCCTGGAGCGCTGCGCAACAACGCGCTGTGCCGCTCTCTGCTCAGAAGAGTCCATAAATGATGTAATATAGGTAGAAAACTTTTTTCCGGCTCCCCTGGATGTGGGATATCCAGCTCCCCCATAATTCGATCCCTGCTCCTGGATGAAAAGCCGGACATTTTCATCAAAACAAGAACCCCCAGTCCGGACGCCCCGGACAGAGTGAAAAGTGGACACGGTCCATCTCTACTTTTTGTATTGTTTTCTCTCTGTAAACATGCTGTTAACTTGCTTTGCACATCTTCTAATTGAAATCTGTCTTTATCATATATATTTTATTTTTTCATAAGTTTGCGTTTGGTGGCCCTCCCCCGGCGTGGTGCCCTACGCGCTATGCGTGGTGTGCGTGTGCGGAGCGCCGGCGCTGGGCGCGGTGACCCTTACCAGCCACCGTATCATCTGCTGAAGTTGCCGGCGGCACATGCGCACTTTGTTGTTTACAACCAAAACTTTCTTGAACCTAAAGCTGAAATAATGGCCAAAGGAGGAGACGGCAGCGCTCAGGAGGGCATTTATTATCCCTCAAAGAAGACAAAGTGGGAAGTACGGGCATTTTTTGGATATTTGAAGAATGCAGAGGGACAGTTGATAGAAGACGGCTATCGTGTTTGCAGCACATGCAGAAAAAGTGTCTGTGAAAGGCAGCAACGCTTCAAATCTCATGACACATCTGCGTGACCATCACCCACAACTCTACAGTCCACGCAAGGCAAGCTAACGTTAGCGTTTTAGCTAAAATGTGTGATCCGAGGATTTGGGTTGAGAGAGAATGGAACGAGTCGCTATATAAAGCAGCCGCAGCGCCGCTGCCTGCATATAAACCGTGTCGTGGACACCCCCATGTTGAAATGACGCTATGCATTACGGGGCTCCCAGGGGCAGATAAGAGATGGTCTCTCTCCGAGAATAATTATGAATTTAACAACGATTACTGCCTGATGACATTTTCCCAAATCTGCAAAGCTCACTGGAAGGACACAAACCGAGGACAATATTTTCCTGATATAGGGTTTATTACTCAGGTAAGGGTAAAAAAAGTATCTGATTAGAAGGCTACTTGAGTACTGAGTATCATCTGATCTAATATTTTTAAAATGATGACATCAGACAGACAAAAAAGAAGAAGTTATGGGCAAATATTGGTAGTTTAAAGACTAAAGGGGAAAAATGTAAACAAACATAATTACAAAATGACACATTTTAGGCTAAATTTAGACATAAACCGAGGACAATATTTTCCTGATATACAGGATTTATTTAGTTGTCTGAAAATGTAACACGTTTAAAAAAACACCGCGATAATACTGAAAACCGTGATAATTTTGGTCACAATAACAGTGAGGTTAAATTTTCACACTGTGACAACCCTAGTACCATCCCAGCTCATGCTCTGGAGAGGTTCAGACCACTTACTGTTATACAACAAAACAACACAAACGTAACATTGGCAAAAAGGAGGCAGGGAAGCTCACTGGTCAGAACAGGGACAGAAAAATCTCTTTGGATCATTAACCATGTACAGTGGAGCAAAAACAAATTTAGTCAACATTTAATTGTTCAAGTTCTCCCACTTAAAAAGATGAGAGGCTTGTTATTGTTATCATAGGTATTGCTTGATTTCACATGATGTTGCATCCACATCACCAAATGCAGCTGGGGGGGGGGGGGCAGGAAGTAATCAGCGCTGCTCAGAACCCTATTTACTCTGTTGACTGGGCATCAAAATGTCCAAATTCTGTGCGTTCTACAGTTGTTACAGTCGCGCTTATCGAGACAAAGAAAAAGGTTTTTGTGTTCTGAATGTAGTGCACCACAAAGGACTTAATAAAAAAAAACTGACTGTAAGAAGATGGCAGAAGTGGATAGGTAATCTCCAGTTTAAAACACAAGAAACTGAAATGGACAACGCTAGAGTTTACAGGCGATCACTTTCTAACTGGCAAGGGTTTACAAAATATCTTTATGGCATACTGAACAAAGTGACTTAGAAACAGCCATAAAAATGGCAGGTTAACTGTTGAATACTGTTCTCGTGTGTCCTAACTTAACTGCACCACAAATTTTAGAGAGCTAATGTTTGCAGCTTTGCTTTTAGACCTTATTAAAATAAACAAATGTACCAGAAATTTGGATTTTAAAAGGCATAACAAGTTATTTACAATAGATCCTAGCACATAAACATACTTATCGTTAGCATTTTGGATAGCATTGTTATCATGAGCTAATGAGTAACGACAGCACAACTCCCAACTTACTCGAGCAAAAACAAAAAAATATCTATTTAAAGTTTGTCTGGATTACTGAATAGTTAAACCTGAAATAAAAAGTTTCAGGCTTCCAGGCTTACTGTGGAGTGTGAAAGTTTGGGCAGCCTTGTTAATCTTCATGATGTTCCTGTATAA